GCGACAAATTAGTCTTCAGTATTGCAGGAATATACATTCTTATCTCACAGCTGGTTGGTTTCTGTTCAGAGGGAAATTAGCTTGAAAAACCATTGGCCAGGAGCCAGAATACAAAGACTTTAATCCAAGCGCATACGTTCAATTTCAGAAATTAAATTAAAATAATTTGATAGAATTTTTTCAGTTTCAGTTTGTGGAGTCCTGCAGCTCAGTGGTTAGAGTGCTCGTCTTGCAAGCGAGACACCTGGGTTCAATTCCAGGCACAGAGAAACCTTGGGCAAGTTTCCTTACTCCACACACCTAATAATAATCCCTCCAAAACAAAACAATAATAATTGGTCATTTTCAATCCACGACTGTTTGCGGGACACTGCTGTGCGCAATTGGCTGCCGCGTTTCGCCCACAAATATACGGTCAATTCACTTTACAGTCTATTCTGTGAAGCCCTTTGAGACGTCGAGAAGACATAAAAAGCGCTATATCAAATGCAAGGATTATTATTATTATTATTTTAGCCACTCCTCCCTCTGCCCCCACACTTCAAAGGGATATTTCTAGATAAAATATTAAAACAGTCAGCAGCACTCTTGTCTCTGGGTCAGAAGATTGTGGGTTCAAAGCCTACATCAGGATTTCAATGCTGCGTTATCAAACTCAAAGGGTAGAGTTAACGGAGATGACATCCTTCAGGTGGGATGTTAAAACAAGATCCTCTCTCAGATGGTTTGAGCGGTTAAAGATTCCACGGCGCTGAGTTAATCGGTAGTTCAACAAGCTGGTTAATTGATTTGGTGTAGGTAAACAGTCCACATTGGGTATCGAATAGGACTGATTTTCACAATGTTAAAAATACAGCAAGTGAAAGTATATCTACAGAACCGGTAATTCAGCCTTTCGCTGTCCAGGGGCCCCAGAGACAAACTGACACACCCCAATTCTCGCTATTAACGTAACCAGAACTCAATTTTGACCCTTTTTTGTTTAAACGTCGGGTTCTTAGATTTTGAATTATTGACGCCCACCTCATCTGAATACATCTGTTCTCAGCCGAAGACTTATTTTTCAGGTTCACTGTGTAAGTTCTTTGTCATTCACATCGGGTTTCAAGGCTATTCCTAATCAACCAGATAATGAAACGTTCATGGCTGCTGCTCTTACATCACAGGAGAGGACATTGTGATCTCGGTGGCCTGTCGTTTCCACAAGTGCTTTGATCTAAATATTCTGAGATTGTCGGGTTGATCTTAATGTTCAAAAGGCATCATTCATTTAGACCTTATGAAACCCTTTATAGTTGCAGAGACACTGTAAAAACCTGCACATTACTGGGTTGCTTAACACAGCGGGAACATCTCAACGAGTTAACTGTCTGCCAGGAAGCCACATCGACCTTGATTTCACTTCATACATTTCCTCTTTGCATATGTTCCAATCACCACAGCAAACTTCCCCTTGTCATCATTATCCTCTTTAACTAAAACGTGAACCAGTGTGCGAAAGATAATGCAATGTACCGAATGTAACTGAGCCATACAATTATTCAATATTTTATTTAAAAAACAGTACATATAATATTCCATACTGTGAAATACTGAACAGTTAAAATATGTATTTTAACAAAAAACATTTGTACAACTGGCAAACATTCAGAATTAAGTCAATACGTTTTAAATCATTGTATGTTTTAATGCACAAATCCCATATCTTAAATAGTCTGTTGCGGAGTTTTCATTCATTCAATACATTTTTGCTGTTTATGCTGTGCATTTCTCTTCATACCACCATCTGATACAATAATTTAGTAGGCCCATCTCTATAAAATATCTTTTTGAATTTATTTGAGCAACATTATTGGGTAATATGTGAGAGCAGAAGTAATATAGTGTAACATACTTTTAGTCCAGTTCGGACCTTTTCCTCAGTGCTAACTACATGCTTATTTACAATGTCAGGGCAGTAGCCGAAAATCTGAAGACCCAAGTATCCTATGTGATGTCTGGAATTCCTTGCTACCTTCAATATTTCCATCCCTATAATAATAATAATAATAAATCTCAGCTTTTTTTTGGTCAGCCGGGTGTCTAGTACATGCAGAAACCCATCACCATGCTTTAAGAGTATCCAAACCAAGTTGAGAGTTCCCTGCATCCCAACTATACATGGAAATTCCAGATAGTTTGCTGGAATGGAACTCTCTCTCTCCCCCTGGAGCGCTGCATCCTGCTTATCTAATTCCAGAAAGTATTAGGTGCAGGTTGGCAAGGGCCAAGGCTTGGGAACTTCAGAGTGTGTGTTGACTACTGTACCTTAGGAGCAACACAGCATGAATTTTATGTCTTTGTGAGACATTGCCATGCACAAATTGGCTTCTGTCTTCACCTACAAAAAATACACAGTCACTACACTTAACAGTAAATCCTGTGAAGCGCTTTGAGACGTCTTCCCGACATGAAAGTTTCTATACGTTCTCATCACTGGTGACTGATTCAAAATGTTGATTTTTTTTATATATGCCATGTTTTTCCGATGGTTTATATCTGATTTGAAATGTCCGTGCGTAAATCAGTCTTCAAGGCAATCCACTGTCTGAAGTACTTGGATAGGTTACGAATTGCTATCTCGAATGCAAATATTAAAGCATACAACAGCTTATTCTACCTCAATCTCTCTCACTCATGCAATATTGTGGTCATGAAGTAGTCTGACAAATTGCCAGTCTAATATCCACTCAACATTCAGAGCCTCAAATGTGTAAAAAGTTAAATCCCAACATATAATGACAATATTGCTCTTTGGTTCATGTATATACGCACTTTCAAAGCACTTTATCATTCATTTAGAAAAGAACCTACACCATGCATTCACAGTTCAAGCATTTCTGTGGATATTGAGATAACCAAGTACAAAGTCCTTTTAAAGTCTGGGTATCCATTTTAAATAAGTTTTACATAAATATCTCAGGACAGTTTGAAAATCAACCAAACGGGATCTTTTGATATTTAAACCTAGGAGCGGAATCAGTCAGCAGGTTACAATAACATTCGACCAATTATTGACATCAATTGAGATTGAAATAATTACAGAAACACAGATAGCATATACAGGTATTTCCTTTTTCTTAAAACTCAATTTACTCAATCGGAAAAGCAATACTAAAACAAAGGCAACTAAATCTTGCCCAGTATACTCAGTCTGGGTAGACAGTGTAGGCTTTGGTTGGCTTATTAATAGGAAAAAGTAGCTTGTAAGAAGCCTATTCCTAGATAATGTTTACATTTAAGGCAGTAGAAAGCACTTAAGCAACTAGTATTAGCCTACAGGTATAAATTGTATGGTGAGTATATCAGACCTGCCAACTAGCATTCTTTCATATCTGATGTGCAAAGTATTGTAAGCATTAGAATTAACAATGTTCAAACAGTCACAGTGCATTCACAGTACAACCACTGTTTACCTTGTTACATATAAAGTTCCATTTTCGCAAGTTGAATGCTTTGACTAAGAATTACTATGTTGGACCTATCCATAACTGCAGCACTAAAATTTTTTACCAATTCTCCACAGTTTTCATCAACGAAAAAGAAACAATTACAGAATTACCGTACGTTTTAAATGCGTATCATTTGTTATTGAGCACAAACTGCAAACTAGTGTTGAGTTACTATGCTGCCTTGTTATACAATGTGCAATGGAACTAACCTTTGTAATCTCGTGAATTGCACAAAATCTGTATCTCAGCAAATCGCGTATGTGCACTTGCACTTCGAGTGCAGATGTGTATCTTGGAGTGCAGTTCATGTTTGATGGCAAACTTGCCCGTTGATTGTTTCTCTAGTTTGAATAAGCCGAACAGCTTTCTTCTGTGTTTGCAAATTTCTAAGCAACTACAGTACAAACCTACACAAGATTGCTGATTAGTAAGAACCTCATCTAACATATGTATAAAATCAATACAATTCTAAGATCTGTAATACAAAGTTTTTTCCATTTGTAAAACTCCAGAACAATAAATTGGTTTGATAAACCTATGCTATGTACTTCTCTATGAATAGCTTATACATAACTACTGTAGGTGTGGTTAGCAGCTAATTTTGGCTTTGAGAAACAGGATTTTATTGCGCCTTTAGATTTTTTGATAATCCCTTTAAAACAAACTAAAGTTTGCCTACAAATACACAGTCACTACACTTTACAGCAAAATCCTGTGGAGTGCTTTGAGATGTTTTGATGCCGTGTTGAGCGCTATATCAAATGCAAGGATTATTACTATTAATAAACAATAAGTGGCGCAATATGTTCTCATTTTAAGACTAAGTTACTTCTTGAAACAATCCTAACTTAATTTGAGAAACCTCTGTTTTTTTTAAACATTACAAATGAAGACAATAGAGTAGGCAATGTAGAAACAAATCGGATTTACTGAAATAGTTTCACCTGAGAACATCCCTAAATGGCTAAAAAAAAAGTAATGAAATAAGGTTAGAATTTTCTTTTTTTTTAAAAAAAAGTAATTCTTCCTCACTCCATAAAGGGAGGGAAAACAAGATTCTCCTGGTGTTTCAAATCCAAGGAGATTTGTACCATTAACCAAATCTCTACTAAATAAACAAAGCACCAACATACAATCCTAATCGATTACTTGAAACAATACAGAGCTTATATGGTTTTTTTGGTATGAGTGATTATAAACTAACTTGATTTTTTAAATTTTTTGCAGAATGTTCTTCTTGCTATCCCCTTCCACAAGTGTGTGTGTGTGTGTGTTTTTCATTTTGCTTCCTTCATGCCAAATTATCATTATAACTTGCACGAGGTCAGTCATGTCGCCTTGGCCAGAACTCCACATTTGTGGCTGCTCGAAAAGCAGAGCAGTTCAAAACCGGTGGAAGAGACAGAGATTGGCACTAAAATATGCGATCATTTGAATATTAAGTGCCTGGCGGTCCTGCTGTTCTTCAAACAATTCAAGCGCTTGCACCTCGGAGATCGAGTTTGTAGCTCACGGTGATATCTTCAGAGGCTTCCCATCCTTGTCATACTGATACACCAGCATTTTGATACAGTGAGAGTTGGCAGGAGAGATCCAGGGGCTGCTGGTGATCGAGAAGTTGTGATTCGTGTAGAAATGCACTGGCTGTTTCTGGCACTTGAGGAAGGCCTTTAGTGTACCGGCTGCCATGGTGCGAAAGCGTTTGCTGATAAAGCAGTACAGGAAGAAGTTGATGGCCGTGTTCAGCAGAGCCAGCATGTTGGCGACGTCTGACACTATGTGTACCAGCCAGCTATTGTTTATGGGCGACACGTAGAGATGGTAGAGAATCATCACCATTCTCGGCGCCCAGAGGATTGCGAATATGGTTGTAATGGTGAGCAAAATGGCTGTGGTCTTCCCCGTGGAATAGCCCCGCATCCGGAAGTTACTTTTCCTCTTTAGTTTGTGAATGATGATTGAGTTCAGCACAAAGAAAATCGAGCACGGCACCAAGTACACGGTGAAACAATGAACCCAGATGAGGACGTGGTGCATGGAGGTGCTTGTGTAGTTTTCACTCCAGATGTTCGGCCACCAGTAGTATGGTATGCTGGTCAAGAAACAGGTGACGTACACACATACTATGACTCTGCGAGTACGCGCAGGGTAGGACACGGTGTGGTACTTGAGCGGATGGCACACAGCAATGTATCGATCAATGGTCAACGGGACAGTTATCCAAATAGATGTGTGGTTGGAAGAGAACTCCAGGATGCCGATGATTTTGTCCAGTATCTCAGGCAGCTGCTGGCTCAGAATGAAGTCTTCCAGCACAAAATCGAGGAACACTATGAAGAAAAGGACTAGGATGTCTGCGGCCGCCAGTGCCAGTAGATAATTGTACGACGACTTCTGTCGGCGAGCCACTAACCGTGACAAGATGATTACTGTGAGGATGTTGGCTGCGGAAGAAAGAAGAGTTAACTTAGACACGTATGTACAGCATAAGCTTCCATACAACAACAACAACAACTTGCACTTACATAGCGTCCTCCACGCAGGGTAGAGTGTCAGAGCGGTTAACGGTGACGGAGCCTGACTCCGAGCCGGCGGGTGGTGGGGAAGGAGGAGGTAACCGTAAGCACGGTTGAAGAGGAAGGGTTTCAGGTGGGACTTCAAAAAGGAGAGAGGGAGCAAGCCAGAGGGATTGAGGGAGAGTGTTCCAGAGTTTTGGGGTGTAGTGGCTGGAAGAGTGACCTCCGATGGTGGGTCAGAGGGTTTGAAAGACGAGCAGGAGGCCGGTGCCAGTCGAGCGGAGGTGACGGATGGTGGATTGGTGAGTGAGGAGGTTCGGAGAGGTAGGGATTTGAACACGAGTGTGAGGATCTTGAAGTCGATCCGTTCGGTGATGAGATGTGAGTACGGAGTTTGGTCCGGGTCAATATTCGGGCGGCAGAGTTCTGAAACTGTTGGATTTGTGTATTTCACCCACAAATATACAGTCAATTCACTCTACAGTATGTTCTGTGAAGCACTTTGAGACGTCTAGAAGATGTGATAAGGCGCTATACCAAATGCAAGGATTATTATTATTGTGGTTGGTTTCTTTACCCAAGAGGGGGGTAAAACGTGTATCATTATTGAGTGTTCTTTCTACTGATTTGAGATCATTGTATTTTTCCCCCATGTTCAGTGCCTTTTACATATGTTAATTAAATATTGACACAATCACGTATTTTATTGTATTTTTGCCTTCCTTGAGGGGGGAAAAAAGCAGCAAAGCATACTGTCCATTTTGGTATCTTTCTGACTGAACCTACATTGAAAATCCACTTCATATTCTGGTGGGTTTGAGTACATCTACTGTATTTGGAATCAGTATGCACATGGATATCTGTCACCACAAGTGTCTATGTTTCTTCCTTCTGAGCATTTTCTCCTCGTACTTTACAAGGAGAAAACTTTACCCCCATCCCTACATTGCTATTCTGCAACAGTAATGCTTGAGCACCAACTAAACAACATTTTTATTATCTGATTTGAAGGCATTTCATGCCTGTAGCAAAACTACTGAAACCTTGAGTCAAATTGTTTATTTCCTCAGGCAACTGTAAGGAATCACTGATGTGCTGTCTGAATTCTGAGAGCGTTTGCCAAAGATTACTTGTAAATCCTGTGTTACATTAACTACAGTGAGAAATAATCCATCAGAGTTTGACTTTTTTTTTAGATATTTGGTCTTATAGACTGACCTATTGGAATGTGACTGCATTTCACTCTGTTGGATCCACAACAACAACAACAACAAAATTATATTTGTAAAGCAGATCTAAAAACTCATATGTTATTTATTGTGGTTATATAATGCTGACTGAACGCATCAAACTGCTTCCCTTGGGTTAGAAGCATATAGCCTTTAGATGCAAGCGCCAAAATCCGCAAGACTTCCTGTGGCTGTGATTGTGATATTGGAATAGTCAAAGCCAGTGTTTCATACCTGGACTGATTTGGTTTCTTCTTGAAAGGTGATGGACCAATATTAAATGAGTCTGCCAGGTTATTCAATCTAAAGACATCTCTGGCGTGAACTGCCTGTGAGGTTATCATTGGTCTTTGAAGTGATCATTGAGAAACACTGGCCAAAGCTGTTCCCTCAGTGATGTTATCTCCAACCTTTTCATATTGAGTACTATATCTGTCAGAAACACTGCAAGTGTGATAACTTCACATCAGATAAAACTCGCCCTTACCATCCAGCAGCAACACGTATGAACATTATTTTAAGGTAAATCTAATCAGAATTATAGGTGTGACACTGCCTGTGCATCAGTTCACCGGCTCCTTTTCTACCATTGAATATTTGCAGAACAGAAGATGGTGATTTAACCCATTATGTCTGTACTGTAGTCCCGTTAGAACTATCTGCTCTTACCCCATTCTCCTTGACCTTTCTTTTTGCCCTTCAGCATTACAGGATGTTCCTCATATATAGGGGTATTTTGTTATATATAATAAACTTTGCAGTTAATAAAGCGCCTTATCACATCTTCAAGACGTCTCAAAGCGCTTCACAAAATATACTGTGAAGTGATTGTCTGTATATTTTGTGGGCGAAACACGGCAGCCAATTGCGCACAGCAGTGTCCCACAAACAGTCATGGATTGAAGTGACCAATTTATTATTATTATTTTTAAAGGAATTATTACCCCCGGAAAAGCGATCCGCTAATCAACTAACAACCAGGTTCCTACTTACTCCTAGGTAAACAGAGGTGTATGGAGTAAGGAAACTTGCCCAACATTTCGCTCTGCCGAGAATTGAACTCAGGTCTCCACATGCCAAAGGTAAGGTTTTATTATATATATATATAATATATGTAACCTTGGCTTTGACTGCAATCGCTGTATCCACAATGCAAATGAAGGATTAGTTTAATTTTAATAAACAACCATTATTTCTTTTGTGGAGGAAAGCGAGATGGGATTGATAGACCAAGGAAGAGGGCTGCATACCCGAGATAATGAGAGCAAGCACAGACATTGAGATTTTACACTTGCCAATGACTGTATTTAGGAATGATCAAAAATTAGATTTGAAATTTGTGCATGTCTTTTAACCAAGTTATCTTCTGGTTGTATTTAGATTTTAACAGAAAATCGTACGTTTCTTTCCTTCAAGGGAAAACTGCCTGGGGATGGACCATGTTAATTAAGTGATTTTCCATAGCAATGCTGGTGATGATTAGGAGCAACAAAACTGCTCCTAATGTTTCACGGAGAATGAAAAGCTCATTAAACGAATACGGGAAGCATTAGCCGAAGGACGAGCAATGCCAAACTTTTAATAAAAGTGGCTTAGTTGATTTCAAATATAAATGATGACATTTGAAGTTGAGGCTCGTATGACAAGGAGTTATTCTATCCCAGCACAGAAGTTTGCAGAAAATTGAGTTGAAAAGCCAATGTTGGACATTGAACAGAATTTCAACCAGCGCTGAGGCGATTGCAGTATCATTGGAGAAGAAAATGTAGGTCGTTTTCTGTTAGTTTGTCGGTAAATCTCCTTTTGTATTTTCGCAGCTGGTGTGAACATGTTTTTGCACCACTTGCGTGATTGGTTTCAATGCTAGTAAGCAGTCGTTTAAAGCAAATTCCTCTTCAGAACCTTGAGTTATTAATCTGCACGAGAGAGAGAAAAGCTCCTCATTGACAAATACCCCCCACTATCTCTCTATGGTTCTCCTTCATCCATTTACACTGAATTAGAATCGCTCATTCTCACGCAGCAACTCATTCACAGTCATTCATTCTCTCAGTAATTGAATATGACTGATAAATATTGGAAAAAAATCACATTAAGGTTTATGTGTAAATACACCCTCAAAACAAATTTGCAGTATTTGCAATTGTTTTTTTTCTCCCCTTACAGATTCTGCTAGTAGTTTGCTTTCAAGAAATAGGATTTCTTTCACCATTTATTTCTGGATTTTAGCATTACCTTAAAATCTTTACCTCTTTGCTATGGTGCAAGTTTTACCGCTAAGAGTATATAGGAATTTCATTTAAATGTTATTAACCTGTGTTTTCAGGTTACAAATAGGCTTTGGTATGAGTAGGCAATGCTTCACATTGATGCTGCTATTGGATGTTTCCAGCAGCCGTTATACTTAAGGATATAATAAATCTGATCTTTATTGATCTGGATGTATTTGACCAGTCAGTTCAGAGGCATTGATTGTACTTTAGGTCAATCTGCCTATTCTGGAGACAAATAGATGTTTTGGGTGTTTTACATTAATGTGTGTTCCAAGGGCAAGATACTCTGTGTGTTTGGGCTCAACTAGTTTGAGGAAAGAACTAAGTTTTAACATACAAACCACAACATGCTATACAGTAAACTCCTGATAACTGGTCACCCCCAAAGGAAAAGGTCTCGGTGACTAATTATCCACATATGTAAATACACGCTTGGCGGGCACTGCATTGTTTTCAGATGCTGTCCCACAGAATAGATGTTGAATGAGATTGCGTCTACCTGTTCAGGTGATCCCACGTTAAAGATCCCACGACGCTATTTGAAAAGAGATGGGAGTTTCTCCCAATCCTCCATTTAAAAAAATATATTAGGGGGAACTCACTTGACAACTGTGTGCAAATTGGCTGCTGCATTCAAATACATAGTCACAACACTTTACAGTAAAACCCTGTCGAGCGCTTTGAGGTATCGCAAAACCGTGAGGTGTCGTATCAAATAAATAATAATCCTTGCATTTGCTATATAGTGCTTTTCAAGTCTTCTCGACGTCTCAAAGCGCTTCACAGAATAGACTGTAAAGTGAATTGACCGTATATTTGTGGGTGAAAAACGCGGCAGCCAATTGCGCACAACAGTCGTGGATTGAAGTGACCAATTTTTTTATAGCTTTTTTTTGAAGGATTATTGTCAGGCGTGTAGAGTAAAGAAACTTGCCCAATGTTTCGCCCTGCCGGGAATTGAACCCAGGTTTCTCGCTTGTGAGGCAAGCGCTCTAACCACTGAGCTACAGGACTCCTGTATGTAATAATATTCATAATCCATGCATTTATAATCCAAAATGCAAGGATTATAAGTGTTATTATTATATTATTATTATTACTATTATAAAGACCCCAAGCCAATGTTTAGACCAATGTAATGACTTGCGTTTGAGTTAGAGCAGGATGTTTAAACTGGGAAGTATCTGGCAGCGAGATCCAGACAGGATTTTGATGGAGATGTTCTGATGAACTCATAAGCCATCTGAGTGAAACATGAGCACTTGAATGAACATAAACAGACGCCTGGCAGTGAATCATTGCTTTACACGCACACTGTCAGACGAGTTTTATTCCTTGCAATAGATACATTTTTTAAAAAAATATGTGGGTTGTTTTATGCGGTTTATTGGGGGAATTCTGAGGACAATGAAAATCGTTTGGCACA